TTAATTGGAGTAACTGCCAGAATCCTGACACATGTAGGAATCTTTGATGAGTTGACATCGGGAGGGAGGGAGGGTGGGGGCCGAACCGGGCCCAGGGTGAGCCCTCCTCTGCCCTCCCCTCCCCAGGGAAGCACTATGGCGTCTACAGCTGCGAGGGCTGCAAGGGCTTCTTCAAGCGCACCATCCGGAAGGACCTGACCTACACCTGTCGCGACAACAAGGACTGCATCGTGGACAAGCGGCAGCGCAACCGGTGCCAGTACTGCCGCTACCAGAAGTGCCTGGCCACCGGCATGAAGCGGGAAGGTAGCGCAGGGGGGGAGGGCGGCAGGCAGGGAGCCTCCCAGGGCCGGGCACTGGGGGGGGGAGAGCAGCACCCCTCCCCCTGCTTTGTTCTGGGAGAGGGAGGGGGCTGCCTCCCGGCCCCCCCCAACATCCCCCCCCCCCCCGCTTTGCCTCCCCGATGCAGCCGTGCAGGAGGAGCGCCAGCGGGGCAAGGAGAAGGACGGGGAGGGGGAGCTGGCCGGCACCGGGGCCAACGAGGACATGCCGGTGGAGAAGATCCTGGAGGCCGAGCTGGCCGTGGAGCAGAAGTCGGACCAAGGCATTGACGGAGCCGGCACGGGGGGCAGCTCGGTGAGTTGGGGAAGGGGAGCAGCAACGGGACCAGAGCGGTCCCTCCACCACCCCACCGACACAGATGAGGTAAGGGGGGCCGGGTGGGGTGGAGGAGGGGGGGGCTGGGAGGGTCGGGGGAGCTGCCAGTTGGGGGTCCCGGTGCTGGCGCCAGTGTCCCCCGTCCCACCCTCCGCCTGCCTGTCTCCCCCCCCCTTTTTTTTACCTGCAGCCCAACGACCCCGTGACCAACATCTGCCAGGCGGCCGACAGGCAGCTCTTCACCCTGGTGGAGTGGGCCAAGCGCATCCCCCACTTCTCGGAGCTGCCCCTGGATGACCAGGTCATCCTGCTCCGGGCTGGTGAGTTCCCCCTGGTCTGGACCTCGGCCATGCGGGAGGGCCCCCCTGGTGGGGGACACACAGGCACAGCCCCTGGTCTCATGGCAGCCCTCCTCACATCTCCTTCTCCGCCCCCCCCCCGGCAGGTTGGAACGAGCTGCTGATCGCCTCTTTCTCCCACCGGTCCATTTCGGTGAAGGACGGAATCCTCCTGGCCACGGGGCTGCATGTCCACCGCAACAGCGCCCACAGCGCCGGTGTGGGGGCCATCTTCGACAGGTGCGGGGAGGGTGTGTGTGTGTGTGTATGTGAAGAGGTGCCCCTCCTAAAGGACGAGAGAGACCCCAATTGCCGAAGGGCATGGCCTGTAGGGGATCCCCCTGGCTCCCTCCCCCCCCCCCCCCGCCGCGGTCCCCCCCCCCAGGCCGGCTGGTCCGCCCCCCCCCCCCCTCCAGGGTACTGACCGAGCTGGTGTCCAAGATGCGCGACATGCGGATGGACAAGACGGAGCTGGGGTGCCTGAGGGCCATCATCCTCTTCAATCCAGGTGGGCCTTTCCATAGCCAACCCCCCCTCCCCCCGATGCCCCCTGTTGCGGTTGGCCGGTGCAGAGGGTAGTGGGGAAGGACGGGGATGAGTCCGGGAGTCTGGGGAGGACTCGGACAAGGGTCCGATGCAGAGATGGGGCCAGGACCATCTGGGAACGGGGTGCTAAACTCCAGAGCCTTTGGAGTCTGGCAAGGCAGAGGACCCAGGGGAGCCTGTTCCCAGTGTGCGTACGCTCAGAGCTGCTGGAAGGCAGGAGCAGCTAAGAC